GTAACAATTGTCTCGGAAACTATGTACATGTTTCCTTTATAAAAGATGGGCTCATAAAATATACTTATTAAAAAATCCAGTGTAGCCCATAACTGCAGAATTAATCTAGATGAACTCAGTGAGCTCATGATCATATCATACTGGGACCATGTCTTGCTCCCAATGCAGGTCGATGAACTGGCAGCCAAGATAATTCCATTTCCTAGAATTCCTGCCAGGGATTCAACCACAGCAATTGATAGACAAAGGACAGCAAAAGGTGTCATCATTGCAACTCAAGGGCTTGCAATTATTACGCAGCTTCTCCTGGGCTCCTGAGAGCCTCAGCTCTGGTGCTGCCAATTCCAAGGTGCTGTTATGGGCAATGTTCACCTATTTATCTCAGGGGCAGAAATATCCTAATGTCATTTAATATTTGTGCTATTTTAGATCTTGTTTTTGGGGTTGCTAGTTCAGCTGATTTGTCTAAGCATGCAAATTGGGTCAAGATTCAGTTGCATAGTTTTCATTTTGGTGAAAGGATTTGCATTTTTAAAGGGTTATGGAGCAGCTCAACTGGGGTTTTTAGAACTGTGGTTTTGCACTTCAGTATCTGATGTCCTGCTTTACATGCCTAGATTGGTTGTTTTTTAATACCTTATTCCTTAATCTCTCCCTGTCTTGCACTGTCATGTCTTCTTTGTTTATGAGTGTAATCTCTGTGGTGTCTTCTAATACTGAAGCAAGTCCTTATCAAATGTATTCAAATATCTGCAAATTGGCTTGGTGGGCATGTGACAGCCAATCAAGGTCAACTTCCCACAAGTATAAAGGATTTTCTTCGTCTCTCCCCTATCTTTGCACAGTATTGTAAAAGTCCTAATATTTCAAGGCCTTGTTTTTATGAAATGAGCCAAACTGATGACATCCTGTAGCACTTTTTGCAGGTCTGGCTCCACTTTCTTTGCTGTAATAACTCATCTATGAACATTGCAGTGAATGAATTCCAGGTGTAGTGGTGACTACGTAATCTTACCAACCAATCCTTCTTTTATGTGAGTCAAAGCAGATGTTCCACTGGCCTTTACACTTGCACAGATTTTCCAGAAAACATTTTTATTAAAGAAATAATTTACTGTTGAGAATACAGCTTCTGTGGTAAATCTTCCCTCCAGTGGCTTATAGAAGGTAGCTCTTAATTTATTTCACCATTGAAACAGAATTTGTCAAATACCTTAATCTGAGACATTTTAGAAACATTTGTAGTTTCATCCACCCATTCAGGAATCCTCTTCCACTATGTAATTTGTGCAGATACTTGTCTCTTCAAACTTTAAGTAGTATTTCCTGTGTCTTCTAACAGTGTTTGCTGACAACAGAATCCATTTTAGTTTGCTGCTCTATTGCTTTGTGTGTATTATCCCAGCCATTTTTACTTTTTATGGCAGGAAGAATAAGTGTTCTCTGGTGCTATGTGACAGTTTTTGTTTTGCTGTGAAAGAAGAAACCTCAAAGGAGGCTTGTCTACACACTTGTCATTAAGTTTGGTGAAATTTTTTAAAGCACTGAATTGAATGTCACATGGCTTAAAACATGGCTGAAAAAATTGTAGAGGTTTGTCTTTGTGCTCTAGATGCTTATGTTTTAAATATCTTGCTAATTCTGATGACTTCATAGAGACATTAACTAAATTTTCAAAGCATTCTCAAAGTAAAATTATCAAGTGCTTCCTGTCCATGTGATCTGCATGGCCAACTGTGTGCTTGAATAGTCTGACTATATGTGCTTGTGTGTGTTTCTAGAGACCACAGGATGATACAGTCATAGAATGGTTGGATTGGAAGGGACCTTACATATCATCTAGTTCCAACCTCCCCACCACAGGCAGGGATACCTGCCCAAGGAGTATTTGCTCAGCCTTACTCCCTAGCTTGACTTCAAGAAAACAGATCTGTAGCATCCACACATCATCAGGATAATGGATTCATCCACTTGTAGCAATACAGCCCATACATGACAGAATCTAATTAAGCAAAATAGCAAGTATAGATATGAACAAATAGCATAAATACCATCTCTGCTGGAGATGCTTCAATAGGATATGTTAGACATTTAATGAAATTATGGAACAATGGAACAATGTCTGTTTATAGTTATTAACATACTACAGTACTCTCCTAATGTTGTACAATTAGAAAATCAGACACAGTTTAAATCAACAAACTGTTTACAGAAATAATTCTAAGTTTAGTGTTATTACTAAATTGCAATTCATCCCTTATGCAACAAACTACAGAACTTGCAGTTGTTTAATGCAACTTTATATTATCCTGGGAACCCACACCAGGGAATGACCTTTGTTTCCATGGCTAAGAGACCCGGGATGACTCATGTACTTCTACTCACTGCAGCCCTCAAAAGCCAAGCCAAGCCTACCCTGTCTGGGAATGGGCTGACAATCTGAGTGACACTGCTGCCATTTCAGCTGCTGGATTTGATTCTGCTCCTATATTCTCAATTATGCTCATGTTCAGGAATTATCTAGAAAGTACTGGAGCAATCTTTTTCTCCAGGAAGGGTCAAACAAAGCTGCTGATGGGTAGATAATTCCTTCACCCTGCAAAAATGACCATCCAATTCCTGGGATCATATTGTGCTGTGCACTTCGGTGAAACAGCAGGAAGTGACATATTTTGACCTGAAAAGGATCAGCTTAAGATTCTAGGTAGTGATATCATGCCTGTCACTGTCACCATATCACATTCAGGTCACCAACACTTGAGAAGAGGGTGCTCCATTGTGTTTTGCAGCCTTACTCCCTTGATGCTGATTGTCAGGCACTCAGTCTGAATGCATGACACAGATAGAGACAAAGGTCTACCCATGAGTCAAAATCAACATCAGAGATCAGATGGGTGCTAGCTGAACCTGAACATCCCATTCTCATGGAGTCAACTAGCAAAGTACATATATATCCCCATACACAGTTTATAGAAAGGTGACTCCAGAAGCCTAGTAGTCAGCTATTTCAAAAGCTGCTCAACATCGTGTGAGTCCACAGGGAGAATTATGGCTGAAGCATAGATTAAAATGGCCATGTCAAAGAGCAGCAGGAGGAGCTGTTCCATAAGGAAAAGAGATCCAAAAAGGCAGCATCACCACAAGAGCAGACAAGGACAGGACTGTCAAGCATGCAGTCCCACCTCCTGTGGACAAGGAAAGCAAAGAAGCGCTGTGATGGGTCAGCCAGCAGTCCAGTCATACCAGATGTGTCCACAGTGATATGACAGTAATTCCAGTTTGTAGACCAGGATCAGTATCCATGTCAGCTAGGCAGGTGGAAAGACTCCAGCAAAGCTACAGCACAGCTCAAGGAGAGAGTAAGGGTTAACACCCATCTTAGAAGCAGCTCCTGAAACGAGAGGGGGCTGAGCCCTGCTGAGGCATCTCCCAGCAATTGTTTTAAGGTCAGCCAGCTGTGCTGTGGAAGTTGGCTCTGAAACTCAGCAGCCAAAACCCCAAAAGCAGTGCAGAGCCCCTAACCATATTCACCATAGCAGTACCTGGCAACTTTATCAATGAGTCCATCCCAGTCCCACCTTTTTATCATCTGTTGGTAAAATTAATTGTATCAGCAGTATTCAACACAAGTAGATTCCAAGAGCTTGACAAAGAAATCAGAATTAACTGCCACAGTAGATGGGTAGCTAAGTACATAAGTTCAGTAAATGTTTAGAGAATAAGTATACACTGTACAGCATTCTAATCTGGTTTACCAGAAGCACAGCCTGGTAAAAAAACAGATTAAGGAAAGTGATTATCTTCCTCAACACTTCTTAAGGTGATATCTGGAATATTGCATCCAGTATTTGGGGGGAATTCTATTTTTCTGGTGACTGGGCACTACTGAATTTGCACATAACACTAGACTTAGGCTGACAACAAAGTTCTGGAAGACAGATTCACAATTCAAAATCATTTTGGCAAGCTGGAGATGCAGGCTGATAAAACAGGCACAAATGCCTACAGATATGAATAAACACATGCATATATAAATTTCTGAAGAAAGCTGTAATAAAAATAAATGCCATGCTGAGAGATGTAACCAAAAATTTTTGTTTGTTGTATAAATTAAGGCATTGTACTCTTGTATGTAGCTCTTATAAAGTTGCATTGCAGAACTATAAAAATTGGAAGCGACAGCCTTTTTTAGTTTTGAAAGAAGACATCTGCAAAAGGACTAACAAACATGAAAAAGTAACTCTGAAAATAAAGGAATAAACTTTTCTTAAAGTTCATTGTGGACAGGGCAAGGAGTGGCTGGTTTCATAATTACAAAGTGACATCCTTTTTACAATTAGTGTCAAAACTTAAAAAAATGATGCATATTTTAATTGCAAACTTTTAAAAAGGGTTTGAACAAGAAGCTTCTGCAGTGTCACAGGGAAAGCTGATCCTGCTTTGGAGAAGTGAATGAAAGCAAAGCTTATTCATTGAACTATATAGAAATCTACTAAAAGTTCACCTCTTTCCATTTCATCAGTCTGGGAGAAAATCTTTCCCAATTAATTTGGCTGTTTGGTGGACCAAAGTGTTTGGTACTTAATAATACCTCATAGTGACACAGGAAATTATTTAGTTCAATTCAAAATACGCCACATTGCTGGCCAGATGCAAACAATTCCTCTTTACAGATGCACTGGCAAGTTTCCTGATTACTCAAAACCACATATTACAACAGAATCAAAGATACAAATGGAACTTGAAATCTCCAGAATTATAAGATTAAGTCTTAACTTTAGAAACACAGTGCAGTAACTGGAGATCTGGAGATACTCTGAGAAGGAAGAAAAGGCTAAGAAGAGGAGACATCAAATGAAATTGTGTTGGAAATATGGAAGACAGAACTTGAGGGTTCTGCTCAGAAGGATGAGGTAACTTCTTTTTTTAATATTTTTATTTCACAAGCATGACACTGTGATATTGCAAAGTATATGAAGAGCTTTAGTATCTAAGTTGGATCTAAACCACAAATGAGGATAGCAGATTTGGGGGCTGAACCAAAAAGAATTTTTGTGACTGATGACACTTCACTCTCTGGTTCACAGATGTAACTAATGGTAGATATTAAGGATGTACTTCAACAAAAAATACTTAAAAACAATACCAATGCTTATACCTTCCAAAGTATTTTGAATGGCCATGAAGTTCATATAATTTTGAGTTTAGCTGTATATGCTTCCATATAGTTTCTTGTTGCAGCATTACAATTAAAATACACATTTGG